CATTTTCGGATTGAATTGTTTGTTTTCTTACTGTCGAATTTTGTGAGTTCTTTGTATATTCTGAATACAAGTCTTCTCTGAAACATGATTGTAAATGTTTTCTAGCTTCTCTTCAGTCTAGCTTTTCTCTTTTTATTCTCTTAAGAGATGAAAAGTAAAAGTTTAAAATTTTGATAAAGTTCCAGTTTATTGAGTTATTTATTTATATTTTTTCTTTTAAGTATCTCTACATGGGGCTCGAATGCACGACTTGCTTGCTCCACCAACTGAGCCAGCCAGGCACCCCTAATTTTCTTTTTAAATGTATCGTGTTTTTGGTATCCTGTCTAATAAGTCTTTGCCTAATCTACTTTTTCTCCTTTCTTTTTCCCTAAAAATTTTTATAGTTTTAATTTTTTATGATGATTCTTTTTGAATTAATTTTTGTATAAGATAGGTTCAAGTCATTTTTTTTTGCATATAGATGTCCCTTTGTTTTATTTAAAAAAATTTTTTTTAAGATTTTATTTATTAGAGAGAGAGAGAGTGCACACAAGATGGAGGCGGGTCAGAGGGAGAAGCAGACTCTCTGCTGAGAGGGGAGCTCAGTGTGGGGCTTGATCCTTGGACTCTGGGATCATGAACTGAGCCGAAGGCAGATGCTTAACTGACTGAGCCACCCAGGTGCCCCAATGTCCCTTTGTTTTAATACCATATGTTAAAAAGACTGCCCTTCCTTCATTGAACTGTCTTTCACTTTTGCCAAAAATCAGTTGGCCATATTTTTATGTATATATTTCTGGACTCTGTTTCATTGATGTGTCTATCCCTTTGTAACTCCATGTTGTCTTGATTAATGTAGCTTTTTAGTAAACCTTAAAAGTTGAATAGTGTGATTCTGCCAATTTTATACTTTTTTCAAATGTTGTTTTGGCTATTCCAATTCTGTTGCCTTTCCAAATAAATTTGGAAATCAATTTGTATTTATCTACAAAAGAATCCATGCTGAAAATTTGGTTGGAATTGAACTAAATGTGTAATTTGAGGAGAATTGACATCTTTACTATCTAGAGTCTTCCAGTCCATGAACATGGTATGTCTCTTCATTTATTTAGGTCTTCCTTGATTTCTTTCATCTGCATTTTTTCTTTTTCAGCATATAGATCTTATACATATTTTTATACTTGTATCAATATATATTTTTGGAGTATTTTAAATGGTATTGCTTTTTGAAATTCAGTTTCCAATTGTTTATTGCCAGGAATATGGTTGATTTTTCTGTATTGACCTTGTACTCTGTAACCTTGCATTTATTAGTTCTAGGAGTTTTTTGGTGGGTTTTCTGGGATTTTCTATGTAGACAATCATTGTTTATTTATAGAAGCAGTTTTAGTTCTTCCTTTTTAATTTGTATGCCTTTTTTTTCTTTTTCTTGCCTAATTACACTAGGTATGGCTTCCAATACAATGTTAACTAGGAGTGGTAACAGCAGGACATTCCTGCCTTGTTCCAGTCTTAGTTTTCCAATCTACATGTGCATTTCACCATTAAGGACGTGTTGGCTTTAAAAAAAGGGGGGGGGTGTTAGCTCTAGGATTTTTTTTGGATGTCCTTTATCATGTTAACGAGATTCCTTTTTATTTCTAGAATAGATGTTGAATTTTGTTGACTTTCGTATAGTCCTGTTAAGGGTATTTATTTCATTTGAGTGAGTTTGCAATTTTTTTTTTTTAAAGATTTTATTTACTCACCCGAGACACAGAGATACAGAGAGAGAGAGAGAAAGAGCATGAGCGGGGGGAGAGGCAGAGGGAGAGGGAGAAGCAGGCTCCCCACTGAGCCAGGAGCCCGATGTGGGGCTCCATCCCAGGAAGCTGGGATCATGACCTGAGCCGAAGGCAGACACCCAACCATCTGAGCCACCCAGGTGCCCCGAGTTTGCAATTTTTGAGGTATTGGTCCAGTAATATATAAACAGAATTAGACACTATGACCAGATGGGTTTATTCTGAGAATGTCGTGCCAGTTCATTATATGAAAATCATATAACCTATCATTAACAGTCTAAAAAAGAAAAACCTCATGATTATACTCATTGATGGGAAAAAACTTTTTTTATATCACTCTTCTTTCTTTTGAGAGTCTGGAAATAGCAAAATTAGAACTTTTCATATTGTTCCACAGGTCTTTGAGGCTCTGTTCATTTTTTCCCCCCATTTTTCTGTGTTGATCAGATTTGATATGTCTTCAAGTTCACGGACTTTTTTTCCTCTTATTTCTATTCTGCTATTGAGTCTTCATGTTGCAGTTGATTGATAGTCTCTTAAGGCTTTTTTTCTCCCTACAGCTTTTCCTTACTTTGTGATATTTTTGTTGTAAAATGTAGTTTATTGGTCCCAAATGATTTTCCACAGTGTGGATTTTCTAATTGTACTTCTATCATTTAAAATGTTTTCTGCGCCCTGTATTTTCTGTAGGTTGGAAGTTAGATCTAGAATAAGGTTCAGTAAACTACAGTTTGAAGGTCAAATCTGGCCTTCCTCTGTTTTTAAAAATATTGATTGAAATGTAGCCACACTCATTCATATACATATTGTCTGTACCTGCATATGTGCTCTGGTGGTAGAGCTGAGTAGTTGTGGCAGAGACTGTGTGGCTGGGAAAGCCTAAAATACTTATGCCCTGTTCCTTTATTAATTAATTAACTATGAGTAAAGTGATAGAAATTTATTAAGCAGGGATACAGAAAAAAACCTCTCGGGAGTGAGAGGGGTCCCAACAGGGTTGCCCTGCCCTGTTCCTTTAAAGTAAAATTTTGATAATCTCTGATTCAGGCTTTTACAAATTCAGTTTGCTTTTTTTTTTTTTTAAATGAACTTAATAGATGGTCATTTATATTTGTCTCTGTGGCACATAATGTTTTATTGTCTGTATTTTTGTGATGTTAATAGTCATTGCTTATATTCAGGGCTTTTTAAATGATTCACCTGCATTTTTGATGGGGGTTTTTTTTTGCTGGGCACATAATTTTAGATTGCTGTTTTTCCTTCACTGTTTTCTGGCTTCCATTCTTTATGACTTATTGTCAGCTCTCAGTCTAATTGTTAGTCTTTGAAGGTAATCTGTTTTTCCTATCTCCCTATCCTCCACTCCGTGGATGCTTTTGAGGTTTTCCTGTTTCTGGTTTTTATCAGATACACTATACTGGTTTTCTTTTGTTTTTCTTTTTCAGTCTTCTTTAGGTTTATATTGCTTCTTCAATCTGTGGCTTGGGGTCCTTCGTTGGTGTTAGAAAATTCTCACCCATATGCCATTTTCTCTTCTGCCTTGTTCTCATTTCTTCTCCTAAGATTCCTATTATATATTTTTTAGATCTTATACTCCATTACATTTCTTTAATGTTCTTTCCTGTTTTTAATTGTCTGTGCCTTTTGTTCTATGCCTAATAGTATTTTCTTTTGACCTTTCTTCCAATTCACTAATTTTGTTTGTGTTTAATCTGCTGTCAAGCCCACCCTTGATTCTGTTTAATTACTGCTTTTTTCATTTCTGTTATTCGTTTGGTTCTTTGTTACAGTTTTCATTTCTCAGAATTCTCCACGAACTGTCATTTATTTCAGTTGTTTTAAAATTGGTTTTTGATCATTATTTTATTTGGGTTTTCTGTGGTCTTTTCTAATGTCAGTTCTTCCCCCTTGTTTTCTGGTCATTTGTTGTTTCCTTGAATGTCTGCTTATTTTTTACTGAGTGCCAGAAACCAAATGTGAAAAATATTCAGATAGTTTGAGGTTTTGAATGATTGTTCTGGAAACCTAGAACATCTATATGTGATTTTTTTTTTTTTTAAGTTCTGTTGTAAGAATAAATAGGAATAGGAGAAGAGGGAACTGGTAAGAGTCAATTAATAGGATTATCCTGGCTTCCTGATAGAGAAGGAATTTAGAGAAACCGGGAGAAAATTAAGTTCTCAAAGAGTATGGAGTGAGACACCTAAAAGAGTTGGAGGTTGGCATCAAAGTGGGGATGTTAGACCTTGAGATTAAAATAAAAATAATCAAAGGGAACAAAATTCTATGGAATATAATCGATGTGTTACTAGACTTTAGAATCACTTAGTGAAAAGTCAAGGGAATCTTAATGGGAAGGTGTAGGTGTAGGCGTAGGTTAAGTTTTGAAGGAAATAAATTGAATAAATAGTGAAGAGCAGGAAGAGAATTTCAGGCTACACTGTAATTTTCAACTGCTTTTCTTCTTCAAATTTCCTTTGAAATTACCTTTAGCCTAATTGTTCTAAAAATGTTTGTTATAGTGTTAGGGGGTGGAGGTGAGGACCAAAAACCATCATACTTTTGCCACAGGTTCCACACACTCTGGGTGGGTTCATATGGCTTGTAAATAGCCAGAACTATAGCTTTAGGCTCAAAACTCATAACGTCCTATGTGCCTTAATTCTTTGGGGATGTTAATACCTGCCCAACCTATCTCACATAGTTTTTTGTGAGCATTTCAAAAACAAAATTACTATACAAATGTAACGTGGTTAATAATCACATGGCTGGTGGAAAATTATGATTTGTAATTACACTGAAGGAAAATTTTTCAATAACTTACTACGTATGCATTTCATTTACTCATATAACTTAATTGTGCTAAGTAAAATTTGTGACAGATTTATGTGTGAATTAGAGCATGTCAACATCAGAAGTTAATGTTACATTTTTGTGCTTGAGGGCAAAAATATACATACATTCTCATTATCTTTGAGAGAATGAATTTTCTTTTGAAATAGAAATCAAATACTACAAAAGCAAATGAATTGTCACTTGATATAAATTTGAACTCTTGGTTTCTATTTAGATTCTGCAATAAAATTTAAACTGTAGATTATTGGATAGTAGTCACTTGATCTATTAAATAAATAAAACAGTCCCAGTGCTAAAGGAATGTTATAATTCATAAGCAAAGCAGTATGTTAAAACCTTATTTTAAACTAAAGTATAAAATTGTTTCTCTGTCTCTAGGCAAAATTTGGTTTCTCTAATATTACTGGGATTGATTACTCTTCTTCTGCAATACAGCTTTCGGGAAGTATTATAGAGAAAGAGGGTTTATCTAACATTAAGTTGAAGGTAACTATTATATTACTGTTAATTTTTTTATAGTAAAAGTTATAAAGTTTAAGCATTTCTAAAGTATATTTGCTAACAATATCTTTTGAACTTATAAATTAAGGATTAATTATAATCCAAATTGAAACATTTTTAAGTAACTTAAAATTTTCAGTCTAGTCAGCTTGGGGAAGCTATTTTCTCCTCTTCTTTGTGTGCAAATGTGTTCATTCTCTCATGTTTGCGAACACTCACAAATACTAGCTAATAACTTTGGATTAACTAGGGCAAAAAGTTGTAAATATGTAAAGTGATGTAGTGCCACCAAAGATTCCTTAGTTTACTCTTGTGTCCTATGATCCATAAGGAGATGATGACTCTTGGATTTATATATCTAGCCCAGACTTGTCTGAGCCCTAGTACGATTTAAAAACTGCCTATTTTACAATTCTGCCTGGATAGCAATAGTCTCTCATTTATCTGAAAGGAAATTCTTTAGTTTCTCTATAAACCTGCCTTACCATAGTCTTTCCCATTTCTATTACTGATATCACCATTCACCTGTTGTACTAACCTAAAACCCAAGGAGTCATCCTTGATTCTTCTCTTTTCTTTAAGTCCTATGCCTCATTCTGTTGGTTTTATCTTCAGTGTATCAGGCGTGTGATCATTCCTTGCTGTTTCCACTGTGCCCGCCTAAGTCCAAGCTGCCATCATTTCTTGCCTCCCGTGGCTGCAGTAGCCTTACTTGGCCTCTCCATTTCTCCTCTTGCCACCCACTGTTTGTTACCACGGGGCAAGCAGAGTGATCACTGCCTTGCTCACAAGCCTCCTAGGGCTTCCCCGTGGCATTGAGAATGGAACCTGAGCGCCCACCCCACCTTAGAAAGCCCCTCGTTTCTCACCACGTTCCCTCTTTATCACCAGTATTCCGGTCACACTGGGTTGCTTTCTGCTCTGGACACATGTCTAGCCTGTCCTTTTCCAGTTTTTATATCTGCTGCTCTCTGTCTAGAATATTCTTGCCCCAGATCTGAGCTTGTTTGGATCTTTCTTGTCCGATCTGTGCTCAAATACCACCTCCTAGACCTTTCCTGACTACCTTTTCCAAAACATTTCTCTTCCCAGTCACTCACTGTCTTTATTATTCTGTTTTTACTGTTTTCATAGCACATCATCTAAAATTATTTGTTTAGCTTATTTATTTGTTGTCCCTCCCTTTAGAAAATATAAGATATATTCTCATACAGGGACACTTTCTTTTTTGTTTACTCTTATAGTCTCAGTGACTGAAAAGTCCCTGCATATAATAGATGTTCATGACATACTTGTTGAATAAATGAGTACTTTGATACAGGCATTTCAGATAGGAACTTCTCTAAACTTAGCTCTTAAGAATGGTAGTCATCTTTTGTTTCAGGTATAATGAATACTTTGGTGTGAGGGAAGAGGGAAAAAACCCATGTTCTAATGTAAATAAACATAAAAATCCACATTTTTAAATCAAAGGGTTTTAGGTAATATACTATGGTTATTGTATTAAGTTTGTATGAATAATCATGAGCTAATTGCTTAATTTTTCAAAGTAGTTTTTCAGAATTAAGTACATTGGCAAAGTATTAAATGAAATTGAGGCAGATCACTGTTTCAGATGCTTGTAATGTATTAATAGGTTATTGAAAATGAATGATATGCTGATGTATGACTTCCACAACCTAAAGTGCATGATATTTATAAAGTTAAGTAACTGCAGTTTAAATAGTCCTTTGATTTCTTAAGCTTTATGCCATTCATTTTATCCGTTAGTTGCTTTGTAAGCTGCTGAGTCAGGGCTGAGGGACTTCTGATTTGTAGTCACACAACTGGTAATCATATCAGTTAAAAATCATCTTATTCCTAATGACTTTTTTGAGTTCTGCATAATTTTTGTCATCTTTAAGAACATGTCAGATATTCTACTTTTTGTCAGAAATAACTTTTTCATAAGCCAGGCTTGCAGGCTCCATTACGTGCTGGTGTTATTAGGCAGTACACCTGGCTTTGATTTGTTTCCAAATTTGTAGAGATTTGGAATGTCCAGGAAACACTGTCAGTCTCTCCCACTAATCTTTGCTTTAATGATCTTGGAATGAAGCACGTAAAAGTTAGCTATAAAGTTGAAAATATGTTTATTATATGTAAAATGCCATCATAATTAATTGGTCTTTTTATCCATCATCTTTTACAGATTGTCACTTAAATTCAGGAGAGATTGTGTGTTAATTGTTCTCATAAAGACATTGATTTTTAATATAGGTAGAAGACTTTTTGAATCTTTCCACAAAGCTGTCTGGATTTCATATTTGTATTGACAAAGGGACTTTTGATGCCATAAGCCTTAATCCTGACAATGCGATTGAGAAGAGGAAGCAGTATGTGAAGTCCCTCTCTGGGGCGTTGAACGTGAAAGGCTTTTTTCTAATAACCTCGTGTAATTGGACCAAGGAAGAGTTGCTAGATGAATTCAGTGAAGGTAAATGGCTATATGTTGTTAATGTGTGCTTACCTCAGGTTTCATATACTTAAATGGTTTTTTTTTTTCCCCCTTGGCATTAGTGTTTTACTGTTCCATTTGTGGGAATTGCCTGCTTTTCCTCTCTTTTAACTATATATGCAAAGGACAAAGAAATAATAGCCAGAGATCCAGAGTCCTTTCTAAAATTTTCCAAGAAATCCTGGCAGTTAGGTACTAATATTTATGAGCCTATAAAAGTTAAGTTCTTCATTTAAGCTATGTAATCTCTTATTTAGAGACTCAGAAAGCACGTATATTGTGCGTCTGACTTTAGTGTACTGATATACTGGTGATCAGTAATGATAGTATTCAGTAATATGCAAATGGAAGTAGTATTTTAAAAAATCTTACATGAGAGTTTTTTTTTTTTTTTTTTTTTACATGAGAGTTTTAATTCTATAGATGTTTTCTGGGTCTTGCAAATGGTCATTTAGGTATTTAGGATTTATTTTCTTTTCAGAGTATATAGAAAAATTATTCTTAACATTGCACAGAAACAAAAAGTAGGGACTTTGTAGTTGAAATAGTCCCTATTAATTCTTGAGGAAATATCTACCTTTTTTCAAGGTTTTGGTGCCAAGACAGGATCCTTTCTGGCCCCGTTAGGAAAGTATACTTAGTGCTGTATCTACTACATGGGGATCTTGTAAGAATTGAGAATCTGTAATCTATACACAAATATTTTGAGTTCTTTGGCAGACTGTTCCTTGCATGTTTTAAGGAATATTTTACCTGCCAATTTGTTCATGCAGTGCACAGGCATTTCTGGGAAAGTACCTTGAGAATCCAGGACTAGTATTTGCTTGTTTTTTTCACAGACTCTTTTTTAGATTAGCATGAAGTTTTTTTTTTAAAGAAATGGGAGGAATTTTTAGGATGGAGTATTGATAAATGATAAGGTCTAAATTTTTGTTAAATTTTGAACCTCAGTTGCCACAAGCTGATGGGAAATGAATTTATAACTATATTGCATGCACTTTATCTTAGTTTCTTTTCTCTTTGGTAGTAAGGGAATAGGCAGTAGGAGGGAGAACACTTAACACATGTCCTTTTGTGTGTATTCAGTGACTTTTCGGCAGGTTATATAATGTAAGACTTGAAGTATTTGAGGCTTGAAATGTGAGCTTGTGGTTTCATTACTATTGCCTCTAGAAAACAAGAATTACATGTGATTTATTGTCTTGTATTTCATGCCATTAATTTTACTATCTTCCATGTTAAATTTGTTTCCTTTAGAACTGTTGAGGCCCTGTATCCATAGTCTTTCCTTCTTCCTGAAGCTTGACAGTTTTAATAAATGCTCGAAGTTAACTGTGTAGGGCAAGTTTCTTTCCCGGTTTTTAAATACAGGTGTTCTCTTTTACCCTTGGAACCACCAGACAAAAACATATTTGTCTGTCTTTGATAATGAGGAACAGACTTTAGCCTGGTAAAGAGTGCTTAAAATTGTGTCTGTGTCTGAGAACTACTTTAAGTTATGTTCAGTTTTAGAGCTTAATACAGAATTTAAGCGAAATGTTACAACAGGAAATGTTAAATACATACAATTGAAGACATTCTTTAGGCATGTGTCTCTGAGAATATGGTGTTTGGAGTTGGATATAGAACACTAACAGAATACATGCATCACTGCCCGGGGGCTTGTCAGTGGCTTCTCACGATTGGCTTCCATGGTCCCTTTGGTGTAGGGTGAAGCTTGCTTCACTGGTCTTTTAAGGTTCTTTGCTTCTTTCCTTATTCGAAACATAAAACTGTTGAAATAAATCTTGCATTTTTCCTTTATAGCACTATTTATATAAACATTTTATGTTGTCATTTGCCAGATTACTTGAATCATTTGCCAGATAATGGGATGTCCTAATTTGATATCCAAGGAATTTAACTTTCTTAAAACTACTGAATTAAAAACAACTCCAGAAAACCTATTTTACTGCAGAAATAATCCAGATTCGTTATGAAAAAGATTGAAAAATGTCAATAACCCCAACAAAGATAATTTATTACTTATCACTGGAATACAACCATTTTTAAAATTTTGGTGTATTATTTATTAAAATATAAGCACTTAATTCTGTAGGGTTGGTCCAAGGAGTTAAAAGATTAGCCCTGGAAAATTCACACAGACAGTTCATTTTCTCTTGAACATTTTTATTAAGTATTTTAAGCATGTGTAAAAATTTCAGAAAACAGATAGGGTTTGTACCCATGTACCCACCACAGTGGCTCCATTTTCCAGCATTAAGATACATCATGTTATTTAAAAGGTCTGTCCCTCTTTGGGAAAGTTTTATGATCAGTTTTAATGAGCATTTTAATTTATAGCTATTTGTTAAGATTTGGTGAAGTTTAAGAATATGAATTAGAATGCACAATGAAACAGTATAAAAGACCAGTTGATACAGTAATATATATTCTTTTATATTTTTTCTTTTTATAAGAGTTATTTCAGCTGAAGCCCAAGGCATGGAAGCGTAGAGAATGCAGACACCCCCACCTCCCAGGGAAAAAAAAATCTACCCTTCAAACTAATAGTCCCATCACTGAGGGAAAACCATGGTTAACTTCCCAGCCTTGCTTGTCTTAGTTTTTAAAAACAAAATAATAAAATGTTAACTTTCCATTTTATTTTATAGTTCAGGAAAATGCCGTGTTTTCTTATTTTGATCTTTACAAAATTACTGCGACGTAGGTAGGGGCGTTGGTAGGTGTAACCTCCTTGCATAGAACCTGAGGGTCCTGGCGGCATATCTTTCACCTAGTAAGTGGTAGAGCTGGAACTTGAACCCAGGACTCTTGAATCCACATTAATTTTTAAATCACGCGGTGCTGCTTTGAAAGTTACTACTTCCTTTTCTTCCCAGATCCTTCGTTAGTTCAGTCTGGGTCTTGATCTTTGCTTACAAACTCTTTTTTGTTGTGGTAAAATATATATAAGGTAAGATTTACCATTTAACCATTTTAAAAACCTACTGTTCTGTGACATTTAGTACGTTCCCATTGTTGTGCAGCTGCGGCCACCATCCATCTCCAGAACTTTTTCATCTTCTACAAATTCATTTTTATTTCCACATTGTTTGACCCTTCTGCATAAAAGTACTTTTATACGTGTGATGTGGATCGAGTTACTATATATAAAGCCCTCAGAACAGTGCCTGATTCCTGGTAAGATCTCAGTGCATGATGGCTGCTACCTGCAAGCGAGGTGGTGCAGCAGGCTGAGGGAGATGCAGAGTGTGAGGGATCACAGACAGAGAGCGGGGGAAAGAGGGATGGAAGGAAAGCCTCTTTTCTGCAATTTGATTTTGGGCTTGTCTGTTCCTTTTTAATTTAAAGTGTTAGTGGGTATGCACACTCTGTGCACATACAGTAGATCTGAAAAATTATCAAGTGAAATTCAGTCACAGTTTAATAGTTTTATAAAAGGTTTGCAAGTACATTGTTCGTACAAATTTCCCTTAACTGTGGGATTCAGTCCCTATTAAAAGTATTTTAATCTTGTCTAACAGGATTTGAACTTTTCGAAGAGCTGCCAACACCCACGTTCAGCTTTGGAGGCAGATCTGGAAACAGTGTAACAGCATTGGTTTTCCAGAAAACGTGAGACTTTTCACTGGACAAATTCAGTTAGCTTTGTTAAGAAGCTCCACATCAAAGTTAACCTGACACAGAAAATGCAAGTGCAAATAAATGCTTAGTAAGTACACAGGATGCACATGTTGAGTAGATATAATGGGTCGGTAAGAATATGAACATGTGAGCGGTTGAGTTTTAGAGACCAACCAAGAATCATTTTAAAGTTTTCTTTTGTATTTGAAATGTAAATATTTTTCTCTTGGATTAAAAAAAATTTCCTGTAACTGCTGAATAGTCAGAAACTTTAAAGCAGTAAATGAATTTATAGAAAGCATGTATTCTTGGTTTTTGTGCTTTGGTAAAGTTGAATGGAATATAGCTGCTCGTTAAGATTTGACGAAACTACTCCAGGGCCAGAATAATAAACACCAACTTTCTTAGTGTTTTATTAGACTTTCTATGAAACATAGTAAGTATAATATTTTGGGTTGAATGGTGGTTATTTAAAAAAAAAATTAATACCCGAGGAAAATCCCCAAGTTTTCATGTGTATAATTAAACAAAATCAGATAAATGTATGAGTTGATCAAGAAATATTTTTTGAGCTTGTATTTTGCTGCTGATGGCCTTTACACACTGTGAAGGATAAACAGGAAGTAGGAAAGACAAGTAAGAGATCCTGTTATCTGCTAGCACTGTGTTAAGTTACATTATGATAATTAAGTCACTGAATTCTCCAAATATCTTCTCAAGGTATGTATTAACTTATTCCTGTTTCTACATATCAAAGGGCTAGTATTGGGGCACCTGACTGGCTCAGTTGGTAGAGCATGTGACTTGATCTCGGGGTTGTGAGTTCGAGCCTCACATTGGATAGAGAGATTACTTAAAAATAAGATCTTTATGTATTTATTTTAAAGGTTTTATTTATTTGTCAGAGAGAGAGAGCACAAGCAGGGGGAGCGGCAGGTAGAGCTAAGCAGGGAGCCCGATTCGGGGCCCGATCCCAGGACCCCGGGATCATGACCTGAGCCGAAGGCAGACGCTTAACCAACTAAGCCACCCAGGCGTCCCGAAATAAAATCCTAAAAAAAAAAAAAAAGGCTCGTAGAGGATGGAGCCAGGATTCTTTGGGTCTGACTAAAACCAGTTTTCTTCCCCTAGTGTATTCTGCTTCCCAGGTGCTAAGTCTCTGCCTTATTGATACTTAAAGTTCAGTAGGGGAACTGGGACTGGTCCAGAGAAATTGAGTAGTTGAATTTTCAAGAGCTCTGCAGCTTCTTGTTAGTGACAGTGTTGGTCTGTGGACTGTGAGTTAGCAGGTCATCCTTCACTACCTTTCTCCATCTCCCTTTTGTCTTAACAGACTTGCCTAATTGAGAACTGAATAGTGTCATTCTTTTGTGAAAGGGTGGTGTAGGCTATATGTATATATAAGCCTTCAGAGACATGGGGACAAAGATGTTTTAGTTAGGGCTAATTAGGAAGAGAAACAGTTTATTAATGTTTTTGAAGACATATGTTTATATATGCCATTTTTCTATTTGGGCTAGTATTTTCATATTGGAGCCACAATACAAATTTTAAAGTGATACAATTTTTGATGATTTTCAGCTTTTTGGGTCTGTTGGGTTTTTGTTTGATAAATGTTAACCTAGTAATGAGTAAGTCTAGCATTACAATCCTTTTTCTTTTTTTTTGTATGTCTGAGTGGGGGCAGGGGGTGGGGGGAGAAGAGGGGTTTGATTTAAATCAACATTATTCAACCATTAAGATTACTACCTGCCTTGCACAAGATAACTGAAGACATTTACATTAGCTTTCAACACAAATAACATTGTTTGAAAAGCTTTAATTTTTAACACATAAAGAGTGAGAAGTTACTTCAAAATATATGTGATTTAAACTTTACAGAAAAATTGTGTTGATTTTACAAACTAGGCAAAGGATCTTAAACCACAGAAAAATAGTTCATAACTTATTGAGGAGATCTGGTCTTTGTTGTTTTTTCATGTTACTGTTCCTTGATATCAAATATGATAGTAGTGTGGAAGTACTTTTTTTTAGAATTTTGAGTTGTTACATATGCTATTTTAAAGCACCACTCTAACAGAATGGGCTTTCTGTGCCACCAGACTGAGACGTTGGGTTTGATTCACTGATAGCTTGGAGTGGGCCTTTGTTGAAAAGCTCTGCAAGTCACCCTCGTGGCGGGGTATGTATGTTCCATTTGCAAAGATGTAGGATTTGGGGGAATCGTGGAGCTGTTGCTCAGGTCAGGAGAAGGGATTTGTCATCTCTCCTTATCAGTTAATCCTGCTGGAAGCCGGCCTCTCAGAGGTTGAAATTAGAACAAATGGAAGGTCCCAAAATCGAGCAGTAAATTAGTGTTTTCAAATAATACCACACTTTAAAAAACCAGGCTAGTAAATGGCCCCAAGTTACTGAAGCAAGTTGTAAATATGTGACTATTAAACTGAGTTTCGTTAAAGCACATGACTGTGTGGGTGACTGGAAGGAATTATACGGTTATAAAAGGGAGCAGTGAGTTACGTAGTGAGCGCTGGTTTCTCTGCATAAGAAGTTGGAATTGTAATTTTATTTCATCAAAAGACACTCTTATTTTGAGGAAACTTGTTTGAAATGCAAACGAAGTTTCTCTCCAGAGCCTGCACGCCATTGTTGCTTCTCATTACGATGTTATGAGCCGGCACTTCGCTTCTGTGTGGAGGAAGCTCCCAGGCCAGTCCGAAGGGATTTGAGGCTGAATGGGTGGGTTACACCAATTAACAAATAGAAAGTTTTCAGAACATTTTGTTTTAAGCCAGGTGCACAAGTTCGAGTTGCTTTTTGGGGCTGGCATTTATGCATATGAGAATCAAACCTGACACTACTCTTGGTAGCTTGACTGAAGCCATTTTAAAATAAGTACAAACTGTCCTTGAATTGATTTTCCCCCATTGTAGTAGCAGCAAGTTTGCCTTTCTTCTTCATCTGTGACATGCATGAAGTTTTCTGTTATTTGGGGGGGAAGAAGGGAGGTAAACATACACAAAAGACTTTTAGTCTTTGAGTGAATAATGTGTTTCAGTTCATTTATTTTTAATTTTCTGTGATTCTGTAATATAGTACTCTATGTTGACCTTAATTCACGTTCATCTGGAATATAGTAGAAAGCTTAATTTTTAAGGAACCTATGTTAGCCTCCAACCATTGAAACATTTTCCCCTAAATTGATACGCAAAGAAATAGAGTATCCCTGCTTATGTCAATAGACTCTGATTTATGTTTTCTTAAATAATTTTATTTTATGTATTTATGCATGTGTGTATGTGTCTGTCTGCTAGTCCATAATGAAAATATATACAAATGTGAAAACTCAGTTGCTCTCCAGGCTAGCATTCTGCTGCTGTGGGGAGGCCTGGGTTTGATTTCCTGTTGTTGGCACTGTGAACTAGAGTGTACGTGCTCCAGAGACAGCTTTCTGCTTTGAAAGCAGGAGACCCAAGTGTCTTGTGTTCCACAGTAGTAACCTCTTTAGCTAATTGTGTGTGTGTGTGTGGGGGGGTGTGTTGATGGGCTCTGAAAGGAGTCTTGTCTAGTACACTTCACTGGAAGGAGGCTGCCCATGACCTAGAGCTTGATTGTGGGAGACCAGGAGCATGGTAGGTTGAAGGACAATTGCTTAGTGGGAAAAAATTAGGAAACCCTTGTCATTTCTCTGTTAGGCAGGAAACAGAGATGTCCTTAGACGAAGGGGGAGCACATGAGCATGTTTTATTAACAGTTAATGGAAGAAAATTAATGCTAATTTATTCTTCATACACACCATGCAATTTGTTAGAAAAGTAAAAGAATAGTTTGAAATTCTTTGGTCAATTGATGGATTCCTATGTTAGGGGCATAGAAATGAAACTCAACATTAAGCAGACAAATACTAAAGCCCACAGGCTACATAAATGCTGAATAAAACCAGCTCTACAATAGAACTCTGAAAAGCGAGGGGTAAGAAGCCTAATGAATGATTGAATATGACCTTAGCAAAATCCCTGGAGTGTTGTTGAAAGATCATTCATTTCCAGCTTAGATGTCAAGATGGGCTCCAGTAACCAGGAAAAAAGAGAGCTTGAGTCGGTACTTACTGAGTTTTAAAAAATCTTTACAACTCAGTGCATTAGACTAATCATTAAAAGGGCTTCTCTAACTGAATTTTGAGCTGTCACTGTGTAGACCTGTAGTTTAGGCCCAGGGAAACCAAATTAAAAAGATAGGAATAATTCGCAAGACATGAATGTATCAATATCCTGCTTTTATGGAGTAGAACTTCAAAAACTGGATGTAGAGCCTGGCCGAATTTACTTTTGTCATGCTGATACCATTGTAAGAAAGACTTACAACCAAGAGATCAATTATGCCTTAGAGTAGTTGCAAATTACTTGCCCAGTTTATTAGAGGAAGATAGGAAAAAAACCAAAATGTACTTTTTTCGTTTTTAAGTGGCCCATTCTGAAGAAATGATAAATTCTTTTATGTTATATTTTAAGATATGTATTGTTATTACTGCATCAGAAAATAGGTATGTTTGTGAGTGATCTTTATTGTACATGCTATCCAGAAGCTTTGTAAGAAAAGCCAATCTAACACATTGTTTTCCCAAATACCTAAAAATTTACACATGAACCAGGATTAGTATATCCTGGATGTTACATGAGGAGCTTAAAAAGAAATATGAAAACACTCCTGTTGAATAAAGGGACCATGAACTGTATTTCTCATTCTTCATTAACATACTTACAAATGTGAAGCTGTTTAGTATTCTCTGTGACTCTAGCAGAATAGAAGTGCTGTTGGGATGGTCGCAGCCCTCCTGCTCAGGTGGTCCAAGCTGCTTGTCAAAGATGGGCGGAGTCAGGGGGAGGGAGCTAAATGGAGCAGAGAGTGGGTGCTGCTGGTGCACGTTTTCTCCTCACCCCTCCTCTAGTATGAAAATGTCAGTCCTTTGTTCCCATCTAATTTTAGTACATCCTGGTTAAAAAAAAAAAAAAAAAACACGTTAGGATGCTTTCCAACCATGGAACTTGGAGGGGTGGGGTGGGCGGGGAAAGAGGAGAGGAAGGAGCAGTTTACATTCCATATCCGTCTGCCTTTCTGCGACAGCATCTAGCCCCTATTCTGTTGATTCTGGTAATGAAATAAATTTAGATGCACTGAAGCAGCA